TTTTAATCCTGAAGACCCAAAATGTCAGGCTAATGAAGCATTAGATGAACAGGGTCTTTTTTCCTCTTTAAGATTAAGGGTAAATCACATCCTCACTAAATAAAGGAAGCTCCTACGTGGTCTTCCTGGAAGTCCACAGAGAAGGAACGCATTTGTGCTCCCATGTCCAGGAAGGGAGGACCAAGACCTCTGTGACAGCCACACTGCTCTCTGCCCCTGGCTGGGCAGGTGCTGACTAGAGCCAACTCCTGCACACACAGGGTCACGGGACAAGCCCTTGCACCTCCGAACAAGCCTTGCTCAAACAGAAAATGATGAACACAATTTTACAGCCTTGTCATAAAGATGGGAGGAGAGGACAGGTGTGCGTGTTTGGCAGGTGTGGCGCACTAGGCCAATGCAGGATTGTGGAAGTCACTAGCGGAAAAACACTCTGTGAACAAGACTCCTGGGTGAGCGCACAGAAACGGCAGTGACGTTCATGTCCACAGACAGAGCGCCTGCACCCGAGCAGCCGCCGCGGCGACCAAGGCATGACCCACCCGCAAACCCATGCTCTCTTTCTGTTTTACCGCTTGACAAGGGAAGTGGATAGAAACGAAGCAGGAGCAGCAAGAGTCAGGCTCAACTAAACTCCAGTCAATTCAATGCGACGGGCTTTTCAGAGCACCTTAAGGAACCACTGTAATTCCTTCAATTCACTTTGGTCCATGCATATTCACTGGAGGCTCTGTGTGGTCTGGGAACTGGACACAAAGATGAGCCAGACACAACCTCTGCCCTCCTGGATCTCATCACTCAGTGAATACCTGTGGCTGGCCCAGCTGCCTGGCCAGTAAAGCTGCCCCTCCAGCCCCCATTTCCTTCCTCCACAGACGCATGTTCTCCTGCCTTCCTTACAGTGCCACGTGTCACCAATGCCATGCAACGGGGTTCTAGCCAGTGAGAAGCATAGAGAAGTCCCAGGGGCTTCCAGAAAAGCTTTGCTTTCATGATGAAAGGGACAGAGGCAGCTGGCCCCATCCAGTTCCTTTTTCTTTCTCCTGCAGTGAGGACGTGATGCTGGGAGCTGTTGCAGCCGCGTTGTCATCACAAGGCACCGAGTATAAGGACGAGAAGTGGGTGCACTGAGGATGGGAAACAAAGCCACAGGAGGAGCTGGGCTCCTGACAGCAGCAGCTCAGCTGCCCACGTCTGCAACTCATCCACCACCACGTGGCGTGTTAATAAGAGAAAATGAAAATGCAATTTGGAAAACTAAATTAATTGAATAAAAAATTTAAAATTATTTAAGGGTTCTATTCCTTGCAGCTAAAAGCAATTCCTATGGATACACCTCTTTTCATAAGTGAATTCTGTAACTTTCTGGTCTGAACTGCTTTAAGTACCATCATAGGATCCAAGTCAGACAATGACTGTCTTAGCCCAGTGCCAAGGCACCTTCTCATCCTCACCAACAGCACCATGCTGGGAGAACCCTGAGGCTCGGAGAACGACCTTTTCTCCTGGTTCATTAGAAATCCACCCAGGCAGGGCAATATCTGAGCCATCCACCCATCCTCTCCCACCACCCACGGGGCCTCCCAGGGCTGTGTGGCGGAGGCCATGCTTATACCCAGCAGCACAGGGAACGCTGGAGGAGAGCCACAGACACAATAAAGGCGCAGCCCAGGGTCACGGAAAAGAAGAGCTCTGGAGCAGCCGTTGAAAAGGCTGAAGACATGAGAGTAGCCTTCAGTGTTGAGAGATGAGTGGAAATGGCATGCAAAATGTTTCTGTGCATTTTGTAGAAGTTTACAGCATGGCAAACTCAATTCTAAGGCAGGCGTACTCTTAAGTGGCTTGAGATCTGCTGTGCCGGGCAGTAAGCCCCTGACAGCTAGCCCCTGATCCCCTCCATCTAGGAAGGGTTACTTCCGCATTGCTGTTAGTGCTGACAGAGACTGCAATGACAGGGACTCAATTTAATTCACCACCTGGAAGACTCAGAACAGAACCGGGCAATCATGACCTTTGACACGGCATTTGGACAACCTAGGGCGCCGCGATGCCTTGGCTTAGCTGAGGGACACACTTCTCAGCTTGCCCCTGTCTCCAAATCCACCCTCATGGTTATGAGACACCACCTCCCCCATCTCCCCACACACACAGTGACGAGCGAGGGGTGTCTGCAAACAAAAGGCCAGACCACAACCGGATTTAGGAAAACTGCAGTGAAAGGGCAACTTCAGGACATAGGGTGGGGCACAGGCCTTTCCCGCCTGGCCCAGCCCAGGCTGTCCCTTTGTCCCCACCATTGGGGACCCCACCCTCAGAGGGTGAGATCTTGCCCACGACAGGCCTCGTGTGGATATGGGACTCCGGCCACTGAGGGTGAGCGCTGAGCCCTTGCTGCGTTTCCTGAGCCGAGTCACTGTAATCAGGGGGTGTGCACCAGGACCAGCGAGTGAAGGGCCGAGGGGCAGGCAGATTTGGGAGCCGCACGTCTCTTGGAAATGTGGCTGTGACCCTGCCTGACGACGATCGTCACCGCTGATGAAAAGGAGTCCTGAGGATTCTTGGTTTGAGGAGTCCCAGTAGCAACAAAGTGGCAAAAATTGTTCGGTCAGCAGATTCTTCCAAGCCACGAAGCCTACACACACCTGTGAGAACATACATACATGCAGACACATGCACACACACACATGCATGCACACGCGCACACATTGCCCCTGTGTGTTCTGCAGCAGGGCCCTCTGTCTGACCAGGCGTCCTCTCTGGTCCTGAGCCTCTCCATCCTGGGCCTCCCATCTCATAATCGCCCCCAACCAGCATCTTGGTGACTTGGGGCTGCTCGGCTGGGGACTTTGGCTTTGTCTGTGGCACTGCTGGCGAATGCCCCTCCAAGGAAGCTGCCTCTGTCTGGGTGATGGTCCCCCAGCCTCTCAGACCCTCGAATGGGGACAGCCCTTAAAACGTGTGAAGTGACCTGCTGGCGAGTTTTTATCCAATGCACTGGACATGGTCCTCTCCACAGACACCAGCGTGGGGCTGGTGTAGGGACTGGGTCCATCAGTGTCTCTACGTGCCCTGGCATGGATGCACTGTGGCGTGGGTGGTACAGACGCCACTGCAGCGTGAGTCTACACTCTCCAGCCACGTGGGCTGCAATCCAGTCTAGACTCTGGCTCTTCCATGTCACTACCAGCAGTGCGGAAATTCCCAACAGGGGGCTTTCCCAACGTCAGGAGATGTTTGATCCTCACGGGGTGGCGGTGTGGATGCTGGTAAACAGCCCCAGTGCACAGATTAGCTCCCAAACCAAGAATTAACCCGCCCAAAATGTGCACAGCCATGGCTGAGACACAGTCCTCCAGCCCCAGGCCGTGGTGTGGACATTTCATAATTGATTCAATGATTTCCTTATTGATTGAGGCTTGCTTCGTCTTCAGGTCTTTGTTAAACAGGAAGACCTTTGGCAAACACTGTTTATTCGTATCCCTTTTACGCGGGTATGGCTATTTCCGTTGGAGAGATTTCTGGCAGTAAAACTTCTGGGCAAAAGGGTACATACAGTTAGCATTTTGATGGTTTGACCAAGGTGCTGAAATGTTGCAGGGATTTACTCTCTTGACACACACCCACGTGCCCTAGGCTTTCTGGATTGGCCTGCAGTGACGGGTGGACACTGCAGGCAGAACGTGGCAGAACACCCTGTGATGTCACCCGCACCATGGCAGCTCACTGTGTCACCTGCTCTCCTGGTAGCCACGCACAGCAAGCACAAGTTCCCAGTGACAAGGAGGAATTGCTTTACTGCGCTGTGTGAAAGAATAGAAACAGGCTGAATGGACAAAGGTGTTGATGATAGGTGATCACTGGAAAGTACGTAAAGTGGAATTGAACGTATCTGCTGGCATGGAGGAGAACTGCCTCGTAACGACAACTATAGGGCGTTCTGACATAAAGTAAAGAATTCCTAGGAAGATGAGTCTGCAGGAAGCAATAGTGATTTATGTGATAAAGATCTGGGTAGAAGTTGGACGTAAATGTGTTCAGTTAGGTGAATACAACTGTAACAGTTCATAACAAGATGAAATTCATGGGAATTAGTATGCAGTACTTTAAATACATTGACATTGATTTTTAAAAAATCACCTTAACTCCTTTCTTCTAAGATCACAAAGTTACAAATCAATGGTCTCATACTGTGAAAACATTACTGTGGAGTAGGAAAGTACTTTTGATTAGCTTCACTTTTAGTCACTGAAGGATTGCAAATGAATGCAAAAGTTCCCTGCAGTGGAAGCTAATGGGGGGAAGAAGTAAATGGGTCCGTCTTTCTTTGGGGTTGAGGCATGCAGGAGAAGATCTAGTGTTTTTTCCAAAATGAAAATTTCCGGATTTAACTTTTGCCTTCCCCTCTGATATGTCTTCCACCTATGGGGTTAGAGTTAGAAAACATAACTGAATGTGTTCCTTTCATTTTCCTGTAATGAAATAACCTGAAATCCCTGCTCCTCGTGCCTTCTGACTCTGAGACAACATGGTCACCGCCATGCCCTAAGACCTGCCCAGCCCACAGAGTAACCCTCAATATATTGTCACATACACACATAGAAAATCAATCAGTAGCTTATATTAAAATGAGTCCAGATTTTCATAGATGCGGAAGTTTCTTAATTGAAGGAGGATTAAATTAGAAGCAGCTTTTCAATGTTTCTGTCCTTAGCTTATAAACTCTTAATTGACTTTCAAACGACAAATTGGTAGAAGAACACTACCATTTTGTGTAAAACCAGTGGCTTTTAGAGAAGAGCTTCTGGTACTTTGGCAGTGACTATGTGAAGGGCCCTGGAGCACAGATGGCATGTGACATATTTCAACCTCTAGGTGAGGTCTGATTTCGGTGACCTCGGTCAGCATTGGGCCGGAGCAGAGGGTAGCCCTCCACGTCACCACCATGGCTCGTGGGGCAGCGCCCTGCGTGTCCCCGTGGTGGGGTTCCCAGGGACTCTTACCCAGCCGGTTGCAGGGGTTCCGTTTGAAGAGAGCTCGCAGCAAACTCTGGGCCTCCCCACTGAGGAACTGCGGCATCCCCAGCTTGGCTCTGAAAAACAGAATCCTATTTTAGGATCTATTTTAGGAGAACAAGGACAAGCTATAAGGAGGGCCTCAGTCAGCATCCGGAGACCTCAACCGCCGTCACCCGGAGGAGCTGTGCTCCAACATGTTGGCCTTTGGGGCCTTTTATGCTTTAAAAGTTACTGAGGACACCAAAGAGCTTTTGTTTATATGGACTACAGCTGTGATATTTATCACAGTAGCAAGTAAAGGTGAGAAATCTGTATAATTTCTATTTGCTAATTCATTTTAATACATATTTTTATTAGTAATAAGTGTATTATTTAATAATAAAATCATTTAAAATAACAATAACAATCCCATTAACATAACATTGTTAATGGAAATTATCTATGTTTTCCCAAACAAGCATATCAAACAGCCTTTAGTGCACTGTTGGGCATTTTGGTGGGTCTCTCCCTGGCTCCATAGGAGACAGCTGGGCTCTCGCCTGGCCTGTGCTCAGGCTGTTGCGGTGTTACAAGGAAACCCTGTGAGGGCAGGACCTGCAAGTCCGGGAGGGGGTCAGGGTCCCCAGAGCATACTGAGAACCCCAGGCACACAGCGTGGTGCCTCCCTTCAGAAATTCTCCATCCCTCCCAAGTGGAAGGCCATGAGGCCATGCCTGTGACTTGCGGTTGAGGATTATTGCAGCTTTAGAAAAAGTAAAGAACGTTTTCTCCCTTAAAATTCAAACAAACAGGGAGAATCACTGCAAAGGTCCTTAGGTGCAGCCATCGGTGTCTGCCGCAACTCGAGGTCCCTTGATGGAGGAGAAGGCTGATTAAATAAAGTCACTCCCCACCTTTACAAAAGGGTCCTCACGATGGGGCTTCCTTCACTCCCTCTCTCCTTCCATCTACACAAGAACTGAGCTTACAAAAGCCAAGCTTGTGTGTTTTAGGTGATTCTCAATTTTATAAAAGTTACGTGTCCATTTGCAAGCAAGTTGGCCAGAGCAGCTTATGAGGACAAAGAGCTTTATGACTCTCCACCTAGTGGCCTCACTTTGGAAGGAACCGATTAGGGGCTCCCAGGCTTTGTTTCCCGCCCCCCTTCTATCTGCTCTGGGCCAGTGATGGTCGGTGGTGTCTGCTCACATTTAGGATGCTGTGGAAGGTGGCACAGGGCTCAGACTTCTTCCTACGGCCCAAGAGCATAACCTTGGCTTGGTAAATGATTCTTCATGAGAATTAAGCAGAAAATGGTTTGTATCCAGTCACAGGGGCAAAATGACACTGAGACCTGCCAAGGTCAACCAGGAGGGCTCTATGAATGGGGTCAGCAGGTGGAGGGAAGGGAGAGCCCTGCTCCTGTGATCTCTCTGGACAAGGCCCTGTAGGCCTCGTGTCTCTTTGCGTCTATACTTCTGGGAGGTCTTCAGTCACCACGTTTGAAAACCAGCCACTCAGTACACATTCTAAGTGACTTTCTGATAGGAAACTTGATCTATAGTAGAAGTGTTCATTCAGAACCACGGAGCAGGATAAGCCAAACCAGCAACTGCTCCCTTGACCCCCGTCATCAGAATGCCCAGCACCCTAGCACCACTGCTACTGGTGGAAGAGTGCTACCATTTTGGAAAACCGCTGAACAATACTTTGGCACTGTAAGCCTAGCAATGTAATGAGAATGCCACAGGTTCAGAGGCGGCAGCTCTTGATACCGGAAGGTGCTCGCAGGTCTCTGGGGTGGCTCCCACGCTACTCACTTGAGGATGAGGGCCATGGTCTCCTTCCTGTCCTTTCCCTGGAATGGCAGGGACCCCGTGAGCATCTCGAACTGCAGAGCAACAGAGAGCACAGAGAGTTCATTCATCCAGACGGACCCGGCTTAACAGCAGAGCACCCCAGCAGGGCAGCCTGCAACTCACATCCATTTCCTCATTCAAAATCCCCATCTGTCAAGTGTAGACACTGGTCGACATGCTTGGGGTACAGCAGTGACTAAAACTGCCTTGCAGGGCTTGCATTTCAGCGGGTGAAGTGGATGAAAGACAGATGTGGTAGGTAATCACGCTCTGTGGCAGGCCAGCGGGAGCCAAGTACGACACAGAAGAGGCCAAGTGGGGTTGGGCAGTTTGGGCGAACATATCTTACATGCGGTTTAGGACCCTGTCCTGCCCTGGCAGGTGTCGTGGCAGGGATGAGCGAGGAGGAGGAGGAGAACGCTCATGTGAATACCTGTGCATGCCAGGGAGGGCGGAGGCCAGAGTGCTTCTAGCACGAGATAGGCCTGACCACGGCCATTAGCCTCTGATGAGGGCAGTATGGCACCAGCAACCTCTCAGACACAGCTGCCGCACCGTATGTCCTTATTTTGTTATGACTGGGCGCCTGCCAGGACAGAGCGTGAGATAACAACAGGACGGAGGGCAGCCTTTTCTGAGCGGGGTTTCCTTCTTGCACCAACTCCCCTGGCACATGCAGGGTGATTACACGCAATCTGGAAGCAGTGGCCTGGAATGGTCTCATGAGAGCAAGGTGCACAGCTGACTGCTTCGCAGGAAAGAAACTAGGGCAGCAGCAGCAGCCAATCTTTTCATAAAAATAAGATCCTGAGTCTAAGTGAAATGTGCCCAAGGATCAATCCTCCTCCACGTCTTTCAAGTCAGTTTAAATGACAAGGAAGCAGGTGTTTACATGGTCTTTCTGAACTCTCCCTCGTCTTTATTTTTACTGTGTCTGTCTCTGCCCTTTTAGAATCCATCCTCCAGCATTCTTCCTTTGCAGTCTGAAAATCTTGATAGATACACAAAGTAGAAAGACCAAAAATACACGCAGAATTCCGTTACCCAAAGACACCCGAAACTTACATTTGTTAGTTCCTCATAGTACTTTTTTCAAGCTGTTTGTTTTAAAAACATAAATAAGGTTTTGTACACTAACTTTTCACAGAATAACATAAAGCTTTCAATGCTTATTATGAAATCTGTGTAATATCACTTAAAAATATGTGGATATGCCAGCACGTTAATAGTGTATCTCTTGCTGTACACTTAGGGCATTCCCAATTATCTGCTATTGTACGTAACATTGAAATGTGCACAGATGTTTTCCCAAGATTTGGATTTATTCTAATGACAGGCTGCTAGGAGTGAAATTATAACCTTAAAGAAATGAATGCATTTAAGGTTTTATTATTACCAGTCTGCTTTCCGAAAACAACATTTTAAAAGAAATGGAAACTCTTCTGCCAGTTCTGATGTTTGAAGCCTGGTCTTTCACATTCAAATTTGCTATCCATCCTGTGGACAGAATAAGTGAGGGACTTCAGAGCAGACAGGCTCAGGCAATCAATAAATATAAAAGTGATACAGAGCGAGCGGAAGGGGGTCCAGAGAGAGCTGAAAAAGAGACAAGTGTGATTAAACTGGAGAGGCCGGAATGCTCTGACTGGCAGACGAGCTGATCGCCTGCTGAAACAGGATGAACGCTTATAAGCTGAT